GGGAGGGTCAATGGCCAAGCGGACTGGCCAACATTGCCAGGTTTGTGTTGAAAATACTATATCTGATTCTCGGTCGGAACCCAGCACGTTTCCTCGTGTTATCTGGACACGTCTCGACTTCTTGTCGCCATGCAATGAATGCGTGCGACATTTCTTTGTAGTTCTTTTCATTTTTGGGGTAAAGGGGTCCGTAAGGAGAGGCATGTTTTGCATGGCATTCAAGAGTGCTATCAAAGCTGGAAACATTAAAGGGCTTCGATGATAGTTTTTGGTCGGTGACGCAATTTAATTACGACCGCGTGTCGCCGCTCTTTACGGAGACAAGCCGCTCACGCCGCTATTCCTGTATTTCTTGCCGCGTTCTTTTTTTCTTATTTTGTTTTCCCTTTTCCTCCTGACAACTTCATTACGACCGACATGCGCGTCGCGGGGCCGTCGTCGGTCAGTTGGAGAGACAATCAAGAGGGAGTGAGATGGAGAAGAGAGAGAGAGGGATAGAGAAGGAGAGGGAAAGAGAGGGAGAGAGATTGAGGAGAGAGAGAGAGAGACAAGATAGATATACCTAGAGTGCTGTGGATGGCACAAAAATCGGCTCTGGCTTCAGATCATTTTTTTCTCCGCCATATATATACCACTTTGCAGTATGAATAATTGGGACACACTCAAACTGCCTCCCTCTCCTCTGCTCATCTCGTTATTTCACTCACTCTACCCCTCTTTTGGTCTCAGCTAATCCGGTGAATCGCGAGCCTTAATTATACTCTAACGGCGGCAAGAAGTTTCCTTATTATGGAGATTGCCCGCCGAGCTGACTTTGAAAGTGCTGGCCGTATTGGAAATTAAGAGGGGATTAAAATGGAAAAAGGGGGAAAGGGGGCTTGAGGGGCTTGGGGGCACCATATCGATCTATAAGCTGTATAAGCGACGCCACAGACTACTGAATTTTTTGCCTAAAACAGGGGGCATACGCGTGTTGTCTAAGCGAAACAGCCTCAAATAATTCCCAATATTTCTTCATAGTATGCAAATAATAACCGCCTTGCAAGACAAACTTTTTCTCTTGTCTCCCGCCAGAAGCAGGAAAATGATTTGAGCTTCGGCTTCTGCTCAGTGTCAATAGTTTATCAACTGATAGTGCAGTCATAAAAGATTATCTTTACGACTGCGAATTACAATTCCCGTTTGACAATTAGTGAGGCCAATATGTTCCGAGCAATAATAATTGTATTACAATATCTGTTAAAATGAGTAGTGTACGTTTTATAACTGTGAAGTCAACTGAAAACTACATACTGAGCCTTTTGGGGCTCACGCTATCCAGTACGTATAGGTGATTAAATTTGCAAATTTAGACCAAATGCTAGAATGACTATAATTAAAATAATTTTCAAACTAGTTGTGAACGCGAAAAAAAAAATATCTTTGCGCTCATGCGCTTCCGTACCAGGAGCGGCCTATAAATCATTAGACGAGGCTGTGGCTGTCGCTGTGCATGCCGCCGTTGTGAAGGTTGTAATACGTAATAACTTTGTCGGCCCGCAGTCTCGCAGTGTGGGAAAAATAAGCATTCAAATATGCGTACTTGCACTGCAGTATTTTAACAATATTTTGTCCACCCGTTCGAAACTAAACGAAAACTCACATGTAAACAAACAAAACACACGAATACGAACTCGCTCTTGCCCCTCTCTCACTACTTCCTCCCGCTCCCCCCCTCTTCCTGTCCTCTCGCTCGCTCTCGCTCTCTCTTGCTCTCTCTCTCTCTCTCACTGTGTCGCTCTCTCACACACACAGCTACACAGAATGGCATGTAATGGGCCGTATAACGAGTAATGGCCTACGTTATTGCCCGGTTACTGCTGATATGGCGTGTCCGTCCCTATGATTCGTCATGTGAATCTCGACACCTAATTTCACTTTTACGGGCGTCCGGTGGCCTCTGTGTGTGTGTGTGTGTGTGTGACCTACAGGAGCAGGAGAGTGTTGGTGTCTGTGTACGATTTCGCTGACCTTGCCCTGACAATTTCGCTCACTTCTGCGCATTGTTTCCGAGTCGTGTGTGTGTTTGAGCGAGGACACACGACAGGATGCCACGCGCTCTAAAAGGGCGCAAAAAAAAATTGCATAGCAGAATCCGTCCCTTTTCTTGAAATGGGAGAAACTCTCGGCTCACCACCTCTGCAGTCCGTTAGCGTGTTGCGCCAACAATAGCCTGTCGAGCTCGAGGCCACAAAAGGGTACCGGGTGGGTTCGCTTGGACGCGAAAGTGTGCAGAATTGACGCACAGGTCACGGCGGAGACAAAAGGGACTGCCTGGCCGGCCGAACGGGACTTGTCCCAGAGCTCACAGTGCACCCTTTTTTTTCTGCTGGACGCAGGACAGGGGCACGCAGGGACAGGGGCACATAGACAATGTAGGGACGGGGGGGG